TACAGGGTGGGGCAAAAAAAGTGCCGTAGTTTGTCCCCAATTATCTCGAGAAGGAAAGATATTTCACCGTGCGTTACCATGCCAGAATGCTTAAATATGTCAGGAATAGGGAAATAACTCAACTTGATTTTTCGATTTTGGCGGCGTATCAATACAAATGACACCCGAAAACTGTGCGTTCCGGCAGAACTTCGATTGCATTTTTGGATTGCTGGTGGTCGAACAATTCCGATTTTTACAGTGTAGGTACCTAAGGACTGGCCCTACGCACATTCGGAATTTTGGAATTTTGAAGGTCAGGTTGGCAAGTTATAGCGTGCTCAAATTTAATATGGAGAAATTTCGTAAATTTCGAATATTACAAAAACCTATGGCGGAAACCTCAAAATAAGCTGTTTTAGCATGTCTATAGGCTTGATACAATCCCGCAAAAATATCAAAAAAAATGTTCAGATTCGCGGATTTTTGAGTTTTTGACGACCCCCTGGTCATGCATTCTTTCGAGGTCACGAAACTGAACTTTGGAAAAATATTTCTAAAATTGCAGATAGAATTCCCGTGTTTGCTTTGCTTCTTTGTGTAGGACTGGGGTCCATCTATTATGTACACAATTTCTAGCTACCGTACTCCTTTGGAAGGTTGCCTTTTGGCGCCTCCAAAACGGTTGGTTCGTGCTATTTCGCAGACCTTCGTGCCAGTCTATAAAATCCAATTGCGCGGCTAGAATTATTTTCATAATTTTATTTGATATTACTTAATTGGCGCATTCTAAGCTTATAATTACAAATTCATTGGGCCATCCGATCTTTCAAAAGAAATTCATGAAAAGTCGAAATATAACCGAATTCGAGGCGACGTAAAAAAATTCTCGAGGCTTTAGTAGCCTCGACTTTTTTGGCATAAACTAAGCTTCAGTAGTCAACTAGAACCCATGGAAATAAAAAACCTTTTCATGGTAAACGAATTTAGAAGAACACCCCAAAGTCGGCTTTTCAAAAAACGTTACTTTCGGATTTTAAATAAAAATTAACCATTACCTTCAACCAGATCATTCCAGTATTCTGCTCTCATACACTTTTCGATGCGTGCTTTAATTGTATCCACCAAACCCCGGTGCCTTTTTCATTTTCAAAAATTCGATTTTCGGGCCAGGGTGTCGGGTCCAAAATCGGGCCCCGAGGAGGGTTTTCTTCTTTCCTTCATAACTTTGTCATTTGCCACAGGAATGAAGTCATTTTTGCATGTGCTCTGACAAGCACCCAGAGAACAGTCTAGAATCGAAAAACCGTCACTTTATGGAATTTTTTCTTGGCATGCTAAAACGCGCTCCAGGAGGGTTACTGTAAGAAACAGAAAATCGTCGTTTTCGTGATCTTTTCACCATAGAAACGTTTCGATCTTTCAGGAAAACAAATAATAATAGTTTTTGGTCCGATCCATTAAAATATTTCAAAATTTCCGTGGCAGAATCCAAAAATCAGTTTTTAGCATATTTTAAGAAAGTGTGTGGATAGAATGCCGCGATATTTGGCCAATAAGTGCCCCTTACCATTGTTAAGCAATGATAAAATTTTAAGCGAAATCGCAGCTTACAATAAAAAGAAAAACGCAAAAAACAAAAACTACAGTATCCCTCTGGGGCACGTTTTAGCAAGCAATATTAAAATACCATAGAATCTGTTGAAAATTGGTGTGGTACCAAAGATCATCATCCGGAGACACCATTTGCAAAATATCAGCCATGGGCAGCGTATTTCAAGAAAGTTGCGAATTAAGATGAAAAAAGATGCAAAATAGTGAAATTTGTATTGCTTGTAATAAAAGAACTAGAGCTTGAAAAACTATAAGATTTGGGCATTACCTTTCTACAAATGTCAACTATTTTTAGGCCAAAAACCAGAATTTTCCCACCACCCATCCCAGAACGCACAATTTTCGGTCGTAACCAGCGTCAATAGTACAGTTGCGTACTCAAAAATCGAAAAAATCAAGTTGAGTTATTTCCCTATTCCTGACATATTTAAGCATTCTGGCATGGTAACGCACGGTGAAATATCTTTCCTTCTCGAGATAATTGGGGACAAACTACGGCACTTTTTTTTGCCCCACCCTGTACTTTAAACATTTTTTAGGTTACCTGAATGACACGTCGATTGTTGTTTGTCTCGCCCTCCTTCGAGCTGAGGCTTCTCCGTTTCTTGTGTCGGCGGTGATGCTGGAAATTTTGCGGTTTGTTTTAGGCCTTTTAATTTTTGCAGTGTTGTTTGATGTGGCGTCATTCTATCGGATCATCATCCTAGATTTTGTGTCGCCGAAATATCACCTTATCCCCGGCTTCGAAGGCTGATAAGCGCCGCGCCACCACCCTCACTATTTTGTTGTTTTATTGGCCGGAAAGTGAGTAATTGCGGATTTAAAGAGGATTTTGCTGATTTGTCGATGGAGATTCGGCGAGGTGCAAGTCCAAAAAGATTTCGAGATTCACTCAACATTCTAACCCAGCTTATTTTTAGATGTTTCTTTTCCTGAAAGGCTGCCGGGGCAAGAATTCGCGGCTTGAGGGTGGCGATAAGAGGTCCCGCGACCCCGGCCAGTGATTACCGACCGGGCGGGCTAAATCTGGCGATACCGTACCCACGTTTGCAAGTGTTTTTCGATCAGAGCACTTTTTAGGTTGATCTTGTTGCATAAAAAAAATAGAAAGATGACGCTGCGTCGGATGCAGCCTGTAGCGACAATTTTATCAATTTTCAAGGTTGTTTTTGGTTTTTTAGGGCAAATTAAAGGTTATAAATTTTAGTTCTTTAGTTAAAGTTTTTAAACAATTTTTGAATTTTTAAGATCAACACCAACCTTCCGATGATGATGATGATGAGGGCGTAACGTTGGCGGATCGGCCAAGTCGAGGGAAAGATCCTCGTACACAGGAAACGCGTCGAGCAGGGAGCATACGAGAAGTAGTAGCACACTGGAATTGGAAAGTTAAAGTTTGTAAAGGTATTAAACCTGAATTTTGTTTTTTTGTCAATAATCGTCAAAAGTTTCGGAATTGATTGGTTTATAAAATGTTTGAATTTTGTTGTTTTTTAGTAATCGGAGACATGTGAGGAGGGAAAAACACAGAAAGTCATGTGAGGAGATGGAAGCTATCAAAATTTGCTAAAAATGTGCGTTTTTAGGTCCAAAATTTATCAAAAACGTTCGAAAATTTCGAAATTTTTTTTGGTTAAAATTGTTCTTCTGTTTTTTAATGATCGGAAACTATCAAAACAGCAATTTTTTTTAGTTTTTAAGACTATGAAAAACTTTCGAGTTTTTGGAGGAAAGTTTTCGTACAGTTAGTCTGAACGAAGGAAGTTAATTTTACCAACTAGCTTCTCCCCGCTAATGAATCAGTACCTAATTCCCCAGGCTTGCACAGCCCAATTTCTATGCCATTTCGATGCCGATCTACCCCCCCAGGAACGATGTTCTCAGAGAAACGGCTCTGGGAAAACGGCAAGCTGGGCCCGCGGGGAGTTATCAGAGATTGCCAGGCCGGGCGGGACCCACGTGCTCTCAAAGAAGCACGGTAAGCCGGCTTGGCGGGTGAGCAAGTGAAAATTCTAGCCTGAACTGGTGCCCCTGCCGAGGGCGGGGGTCATGTGCTACTTTGGTGGCTATTGTCTGCTTCGGGGTTATCGGGGCAACGCCGAGATTTTTTCGTGGTTGCAGCAGGGCTTGTTTTGCTCGAAAGGGAAACGGGGGAGAGGGGATTATTTCCGAGGGCCACCCGGTCCAAACTTAAAACTATAGCCCTACAAATGGGGTACGGTATTTTGGGTGGGGCTTTCTGAGAATTCACGAAAAATATCGACAGCGAAAATGCCGACGTTTAAATGCCCGACATACAAAGCGCTAATCTGCTAGCAGGGTAACTTGTCGCTATTTCGGCTGCCGGCATTTTTGTTGCAAATGTTGAAAATGCCGACGGCTAAAATGCCGACATCGAAAATACCGACAGCTCGATATTTCTAAACGCTCTAATCGCGAGTTTTCGGGATTTTTGCGGAAGGTTTCAAAACCCCGACAATCAAAGTGCCAAATTAGTAAAAAAGGCTTTTTGAGACCACAACTCTTCACTTGCCGGCATTTTTCTTGCTAAATTTCTTTCGTTCTATTTCGGGACTTTGGCAGTCGGAATTTTTGCTTGTCGGGATTTTGGCTGTCGGCATTTCCGCTTACCGGGATTGTGGCTGTCGACATTTTAGCTTGCCGAAATTTCGGTATCCTAAGAAATCTTTCAGGATTTTTAGCCCCCAAAAACTTATCGGTTACGCAAACCGCTACGCTCCACCGGTTTTTTGCAACGAAACCCGCTTCCGCTCAGCTACACCGTTTTTACCGGCTCTTCCTAGCAAACTCGGTCCCCCGTAATTCCGGTCAAAATCGCGTGGGGTCAGCGAGAGCGGATATATCAGAACTTCTACGATCACACCCGCGAGGGTGAGCAGGGTGAGCGAAAGCGAAATGAGCGGAACCCGTTGGATGGAGGTCAGCCACGCCGTGCATCTCGACGACACGCACCGGGCAGCGGTGAACGGGGGGAAAATACCTCGAGAATTTTGGTGATACCGTAACTGGGGCTACCGTACCGGTTTTATGGGAATAAAGGGAATTTGTACTATGTATAAGCCGGAATGCCGAAATTCCGAACTTCAGAACACAGAATGCTCAAAATGACAAAGTCCAAAATCCGGAATACCAAAATGCCGAACACTAAGACACCGAATTTGATCATTCCGAGCGCAAAACCCCGAATTCGAAAATCCCGCCACCATATCCTACAACAATCCGAATTCTATGAAAAAATCCTCATTGAAAACCCGTTTTCGAAAAGCCCGAATTAGAAAAGCAGGAATTCCGAAGCATCACCCCTTGAAAAAGCCGAATCAAAAATAAAATTCGGAAAATCCGCATTCCATAATCCCGAATAAAAAAAAATCATGATGACGAAAATGCCGAATTACAGTACCCCGAATTCCAAAATCCCGAATACCGAAATCGCGAATTCGAGAATCCGGAAAGCAATGTCAGCTAGGACTGGTAAACTGCAAGAGTCGATTTTTTCGAAGTTTCCAGTGCCTTTAAAAGGTTTTTATGGAAAAGTTATCGAAATTTTGAGTGGAGTTTTCAGGGGAATTAGGCTGTAGATCATACTACACAGAATTCAGCGAAGAGAGAGCGGGAGTGATAGAGAGACAGAGTGAGAGCGAGAGTGACAGAGAGAGACAGAGTGACAGAGAGAGCGACTGAGAGAGCGAGAGAGTGAGAGAGAGAGAGAGAGGGGAGAGAGAGCGAGAGTGTCAACGATAAAAAACTCACATCATTGGCCGCCACCTCATCCTGGGCCCCGGGCCGCACTCCTCGGCTCTGGGCGGCCGTCTTCTTCTGAACAACAGACTCTTGAGCGCCACAACAACTTCAAGGAGGACAGGTAAACATTCAGGAAAATGCGCGAATACAGATTACAGTTGTATCTGTGTTTTTTTTTGTAAGGGCTAGGGAGCGGTTGTAAATAGGATGAAAACGAGCGGGGTTATCAGGGGGCGGGGGGGGGAATGGGCGGCTTATCTTTCAAGCCCAACAATGCAAATCCTCGGGGGTCGAAATGGCCTGAAAAAAAAAGGGGGAGGAGGCCATTTCGGGTGATTGGCGGGCCCTAACTGCACCGTACATTTGAGAAGAGAGAGAGAGAGAGAGAGAGAGAGAGAGAGAGAGAGCACAACACGGATGAAGCAGGAGGACAGCTGATCCCATAAATGTCGCTACGGAAGTAGTAAAAGTAAGAAGCCTTTAGAAGTGCCGACGAGCTGCTGCTGACCTTTGAGTTCCACGTCTTCTAGCCGTTCACGTGGACACTGTAGATAACCTTTTCTGGAGTAATTTTTCCTAAGAATTCATTGCTATATTAAATTTTGTTATTTCCAAAGACCTCTGCTAGCATGCCTAACCATAGAGAACAAATGGATTCCTCAAAGATCTCTGCTAGCTGGCCGAGTTACCGAGCTAGTGAGGGTTCCGCAATGTTCTCTGCTAGCCTGCTAATCAGCGGGTTGTGGGTTCCCTAATACTCTTTGCTAGATTGCCCGCCTTCTAGCCAACTCGTAATCAGATCGCTCGTCATACTCCTAATCACTGGTAACCTAAGTCTATGCTGAAGCTTAAGCCCAAGCCGCAGCCGAAGCCTAAGTTAAGCCTTTCTACCACGCCGAATTTAGTTCAAACAACAAAACAAAGGGACAGCTCCCCACATCATAGAGGGTATAAAGGCATATAAAGATATGAGACGGGAACAGACCCCGGAACCCCGCATACAGTAACCACCCGTACACAAGTGTCAAGCGGAACGCTGCCATGATAGGCGTGAACCGAAAAGAGCGCGACGCGGCTGCCATTGACCGCACAGAAGACAATGCCAAGACAATGGGGTGAAAACCCGAGAAGGGCGGGAGTGAAAATGCCCCTGGGGCTATGAGCGCCTCGGGGGCGGGAACGCCCGCCGGCGCTTTCGCTCTTTGTCTCGCCTTCACCTTTCCCGTGGCGCCGGTTCGGGAATCATTGTCGAATTCGTAGCCTGTCGCTCTCTCTCTCTCTCTCTCTCTCTCCCTCGTTCTCTGGCTGATTATCAACCTCTCCCGCCTAGCTGTCGCGACATACCTGCCTTGCCTCGGGCTGGTAAACACCCAATTTGGCAACGCAATGCTTTGGCGACTTGCACTTGTCGCAGACAAGGTCATAACAAGATGGAATACAAGCGTGACAGTTCGGCTTAGGCTAAGCTTAGCTTAAGCCTTAGCCTATGCCAAGCGAAGCCAAGTCTACGCCAAGCCTAAGTGGAAATATAGCCCTAAACCTAAGCCTAAGTTTAAGACTAACCTAAGCTAAGCCTAAGCTAAGCCTAAGCCAAGGCTAAGCTAAGCCTAGGCTAAGCCTAAGCTAAGCCTAAGCTAAGCCTAAGCTAAGGCTAAACTAAACCCAAGCTAAGCCTTAGCTAGGACTAAGCTGAGCTTAAGCTTAAGTATAAATTTAACCCTAAGCCCAAGCCTAGTCTAAGTCAAGCCCGCTACCCAAAATTCCCAAAACAGCTGGATGGCGGCGTGAGGGTGAGGTCGATTTTTATACCATTTTGAAGGTCTCGAAGTGTGCGTTAAGGTAGGACTTCAAAAAGTGTTTACGAGAATGAAATTTGTCCAACTTCAGACACTTTTGAGCTGTGGTTTTTAGTGATTCTTTCCATTTCGTTACCTAATGAAAAGGTTGAGTGTTGCGTATCTCGTCTCCTTAAAATTTCGGCGCTTCTATTTTCTGCTTCGCACCAAAACATCAAAACATTCCCCCAAAAATCAGGGCTCGACAACAACATTCAAAAACCGGGTTTGCACGACACCCCAGACGAGGTCACCACCCCAGCATCAAATCGATCAAATTACCGAAGGGGTGTGGTGCAGATTGTGTGAATTGTTGGCAATGCCTCGAGACTGGGTGGGTGCAAGGCTGTCCGCAAGGCTTCTGCCTCTTCTGCCTCTGCCCTTCAGTCATACATTCCCCACCCCACCCCATGCCCTCGGGCAGTCAACAAACCGCCATCAGCTTGACAGTCGAGAGCCCCGCCCTAGACACCGTCTGCCACCCAGCTTCCCACAGACTCATAAATCCCACGGTCCGCTACAGGGGATCTGGCATATCCCACGCTCGGGGTATGGCAACAAGGGCATGCTAGCAGAGATCCTTGAGACAGCACTGGCAGGCCAGCAGAGATCTTCGAGGGATCGAGGGCATGCTAGCATAAATTCTTCAAGCAAAAGGCAGACGAGCGGAGATCATTGAGGAAGGGATGGAAGGGTAGTGGAAATTTTTGCGGGACGGAGGGCAGGCTAGCAGAGATCATTGAGGAATCGTGGGTAGGTTAGCAAAGATCATTGAGGAAGCGAGGGCAGGCTAGCACAGAACTTGGAGGAAGCGAGGGCAAGCCAGCATAGATCATTGTGGAAGGGCATTCTAGCAAATGTCCATTGAGGAAGCAAATATTTTCGCTAAGCGACCGTTTTCTAGAATACAAATGTTTTGAATGAATGAATACTTAGAAAATACGTTCGTTAAGAAGTTTGTACAAAATTAACAGAATTTCGAAACCCGCGATTACAAAAATTAAGCAAACTAGATAATGACGTATGCAAATTACGCAAAAAACACGATAACGATATGAAAATTGAGCAAAAATGGAGTAAAATATGACACATACTAGGTCCAGTGATGAAAAACCGTCCATTTCGCCGAACAATTCCGTTTCTTGCCTATCTACAGGTACAGTCATCGGAAAAAACGCGACCTGGCATTTGAATCCCGAGGCCAAAACCCTCGACTATTATGTCTATCCCATGATTCACCCGGCATCCGGTTTGGCCCCCGTCATTTGACCTCAATTCCGCGGGGCTACGGTAGCCGTCCGGTTTTCACGAATTCCCGGGGGCTGACGATGAAATCAACAAGCAACACGCCAGGACACGCACTTGAGACAAGCGTCAGAATTGGTGCCAAAGTTCCGCGTCTTTGCCATGGACGCCACCCTACGCCTCGTTGACCACGATGGCGACGTCACCACCCAATGAGGGGGCCAACGGCAAACAGGGCACAGAACAAGAGACTAAACAAAAAATGGGTGCGAGAGAGAGCGAGAGAGAGAACGAGAGAGAGACAACGCCAGCACGACAAGAAGAATTGCCATTTTCTATGCGTGGGCCCGCCACCCACTCCTTTTCTAGCGTTTTCCCCCACATCGTTTCTCGAAAAGGCAAATATTTAGGAAATTTTAGGAGCAAAAAGACACGACGGTGGTCAGAACATACTGGGTGAGCAGCTAGTGGCCAAAAAGCAAAATGAGGCTTGGATCAGGCTTAGGCTTAGCTTAGGCTTAGCTTGGGCTTGGCTTAGGCTTCGGCTTAAGTTTAGGCATCAGCATAGGCTTCGGCTTAGGGCTTGGCTTTGATTTAGGCTTGGGCTTAGGCGTGGGCGTAGGCGCTTAGAATTAGGCTTAGGCTAGGCTAAGCTTCTTGGCTTAGGCTTAAGCTTAGACTTAGCCTGAGCTTGGCTTAGGAATAGGCCGAGGCATAGACTTAGGCTTAGGGCTTAGACTTAAACGTAGGCTTAGACCTAGGCTTTTGTGTAGGCTTGGCTTAAGAATAGTAAGAGGTTTAGGCTTAGGCTTGGACTTAGGCAAAGGCATAGGCTTAGCCATAGCTTGGGCTTCTCGTACGCTTGGGCGTGAATGCTCAAGCGTAGGCTTAACGTTAGGGATATCAGCACAAACGGCTGATCAAAACAAATCTACAGTATCCTCAATTGTCTAAAAAATTCGTATTTCAATTGCATTTTTTTCAGTTTCTGCCATAAAATAAACGCATGAATAGGAAAAACCAGAACCCGGAATTCCATCCTAAAAATTCCAAACAATAAGCATGCCATTGGCTGTGGGAGCCGTGTGCAGATTGGTGTGTCCGCGGCACACCTGTGGACAGTCTAGGTGAAGACCGGCTGGACGGTCTCTCTCTCTTAATGGACAAACAGTCACCATCCCATCCACTGGGTCCGGATAGGGGAACCGGACCGACAGAGAACTGGGCCCTTGGCAGGCATCGATGTTTCGCATGTGTCTGTCTCTCTCACTCACTCTCCCTCTCTCTCTCTCTCTCTCTCTGGCTGGCCAGTGCCAATTGGCAGACGGTCCGTTCTAGACGTTTTAAAGGGACTGGGAAGAGGTGCTTGCGGAAAGGTTCTTGCAGAGATTCTTTGAGGAAGGGCAGGCTAGCAGAGATTCTTTGAGGAAGGGTAGGCTAGCCGAGATTTTTGCGGAGCGTATTCTTGTTTCTTGTGCATTTTTGTTACACCAAAAACACGATCGCAAATCTTTATTCTTCGCATACCTCCCCAAGAGACACCAATAAAACAAAAAAGCCTTCCAAGCAATCCCCCAACTGCTTAGAAGCCTTAAAAATACGTAAAAATCGGTAAAAATCGGCCAAATCCAGGTCGACATGGTCCCCCAACCAAATTGTCAAAACCCAGAAAATTGTCCAAAAAGAAGAAGCTACTCGGAGAAGCGAAGAATGATTACATACAGACAGCAGATTCGCGAGGCTACAAACTACAGGAGCGGGAAATTTTTTAAAGGAGCTAGGCGGGGCGAATCGGGCCCTCAATTCATTCGGGAGGCAACGGTTATCAGCACCAGGCGAAAGGGTTGCACATATTTTTAAATTTTGTCGAAAATCAGAATGCCGAAATTCGATTGGTCGTTAGGTCATGTTTTCGGCATTTGATGTTGCCGAGA